ATGAATAAATGATATTTTGGTTTTTACTTTTTACCATTGGATCAGTCAATATGTGATTTTGGTAATATGATTGCAATATTACACTAAGATTTGAAAACCCTTTCAAATGATTGAGAATTGGAAAGTGTTAAGAACTATTAGAAAAATATAAAAATATAGCAATCATTATTACAATTTGGAATACATATTTTTTTCTATAATTTTGTATACACAATTTGGAATACATATTTTTTTCTATAATTTTGTGTATACAGATACAAAGATCATTGATTTTGCCACCGAGATATTCTTCAATCCAAAATTCTTTCTTTAATATTGATTTCACTTAACACAGAAGTAAATATCTCACACAAATCCTTGTAGAGAAGACTATCTTACAATATTTTGTGATCGTAAAAAAGAAAAATATTTCCTTGACTGAACGACCAACCAAAAGGTTACAAGCGAATGCATGGAATCGATTATGAAGAGGTGTGGAGACAATTTGATTATTAATATCTCTTTCAGTGCAAAATCAATGGAAGATATACTAATTGGATGTCAAATCCTCATTTTTCAATGGATGTCTTAAGAAAGGTTTGTTTGTTAGGCAACTGCTTGGCTACGTTGTTCAAGGCTCTAAAGATACAGCCTTAAAATCGAAGAGGACATTCTATGGGCTCAAGCAAGTTCCAAGAGCATGAAATAGTCGTGTGGAGAAGTATTTGCAAGATGATGGATTCTTAAGATGTCAAAATAATTATGCAGATGAGCATGTGCTATTTATTTATGTCTAGAGGGATTATCTCATTTATCGAAAGCAATCTATGATGGTTGAAGAATTCAAAAGGTTCATAGTTCAAGAATTTGAAATAAGTGATATGGGATTACTGTTATATTACTTGCAAATTCAAATAAATCAAATAGAAGCAAGGATATTCATCTCCTAAGAAAGTTATGCAAAAGATTATTAAAAAATTTCAATATAATTGAAACCAAACCCACCAAGTGTTGAGCAAAGTTGTCCAGAACTTAAACGGATGAAGAATATGTAATTCCAAAATGTTCAAAGGTCTTGTTGGAAGTCCATAGTACATAACTTGCATTAGGCCACATATTTTTTTTTTATATTTTTTGTTTTCAGTGGAAATTATGATTCATTACATGAAGTTCCTATAAAAAATACCATCGGTTTTGGCTTGTTCTATTCACCTTCTAATATTTTCAAAAAACAAATTTATTGGATATTGTAACAGTGGTTATGGTGAAGATATTGATAATAGAAAAAGCATTTTGGAATTTGTTTTTGAGTGAGGATAATGCAATTTCTTGGTGCTTAAAGAAATAATCTATTATTTTGCTCTCCATTACTATAATAAAAATATTTAATAGTTAAAATGTATTATTCAGCAACAAAAATTAATTTTGTTGCTAAAAATAAATTATGAATTACAAATTTAATCTGTCACTAAAATTCTTTTGCAAAAAAATTCTATTTTCCTAGAAAAACGGTTTTAGCTATAAATTCATCTTTCATAGCTAAAATCATTTGGCTAAACGAATCGTGCATATTTTGTTGCTGAAATTTTTTTGTTATGAATTTTATTTTATAGCAAAAAAGTTTTAGCTACGAAATCATATTATGTAGTATTGTGATGGATTAGGGTTGATGATCGAATAACAAACAGAAAATGTAAAGAAGACACAAATTTACGTGGTTCACCAAAAACAAGTTGGCTACCTCCACGTACATAAACGAAGAACAAATTTTATTGCAGGATTTGAGTCGCTTGGCCGTATGACTTCGCCTAATGGCAGCACGTTAGAATGGGATACATGCATATTTATAACATAAGTTTATGACAATAATATCAAAATCATATATCTAAATTTAGGATATAATATCTAATTCCAAATCATATATATATATATATGTGATATAATACCTAATATCCAAATTATATCCCTAGATTCCAGGCATATCAACGAATCTCCACCTTGACTTGAATCTTACTTTCAGATGCATCATTCCAATGTCAGATGAACAGACTCCTCCATTCTGCCTCAAATTTGCTTCCCCTTGGACAACTACCAGGATGCATCATTACGATGCCAAATGAACAAGTGGCAAATTAGCTTCAAGGCATCTCCACCTTAACTTGAATCCCACTTCCAGATGCATCATTACAATGTCAGACGAACAAGTGGCAAACTAGCTTCAAGGCATGTCAGACGAACAAGTGGCAAACTAGCTTCAAGGCATGTCAGACGAACAAGTGGCAAACTAGCTTCAAGGCATGTCAGACGAACAAGTGGCAAACTAGCTTCAAGGCATCTCCACCTTGACTTGAATCCCGCTTCCAGATGCATTATTACGATGTCAGACGAAGAAGTGGCAAACTAGCTTCAAGGCATCTCCACTTTGACTTGAATCTCACTTCCAGATGCATCATTACAATGTCAGACGAACAAGTGGGAAACTAGCTTCAAGGCATCTCCACCATGACTTGAATCCAACTTCCAGATGCATCATTACGATGTCAGACGAACAAGTGGTAACTAGCTTCAAGGCATCTCCACCTTGACTTGAATCCCGCTTCCAGATGCATTATTACGATGTCAGACGAACAAGTGGCAAACTAGCTTCAAGGCATCTCCACCTTGACTTGAATCTCACTTCCAGATGCATCATTACAATGTTAGACGAACAAGTGGAAAACTAGCTTCAAGGCATCTCTACCTTGACTTGAATCTCACTTCCAGATGCATCATTACAATGTCAGACGAACAAGTGGAAAACTAGCTTCAAGGCATCTCCACCATGACTTGAATCCGACTTCCAGATGCATCATTATGATGTCAGACGAACAAGTGGCAACTAGCTTCAAGGCATCTCCACCTTGACTTGAATCCCGCTTCCAGATGCATTATTACGATGTCAGACGAACAAGTGGCAAACTAGCTTCAAGGCATCTCCACCTTGACTTGAATCTCACTTCCAGATGCATCATTACAATGTCAGACGAACAAGTGGAAAACTAGCTTCAAGGCATCTCCACCATGACTTGAATCCGACTTCCAGATGCCTCATTACGATGTCAGACGAACAAGTGGCAAACTAGCTTCAAGGCATATCAACATGTAGCAATATCTTTTTTCTGAACTTTTATTGCAAAAAATCTATCTTTCGTTATGAAAGTCAAATTTGTAACCAAAGACTTTTACTAACGCGGTACAGGCGACGAAACTCATTTCGTCGCAAAAACCTTTTCGTTACGAATTCATTACCTTTCGCTACGAAATTTTTTATTGTAGTGTCACATTTGAGTTATATATGTTGCCACAACATCTAGCACTTGTCATGCTATTTGTTTTTTAAGATTGTTGGAAGAACTCCGGTACGAGCAAATGGAAGCCATGAAGACTATGGTTGACAACAAATCAGCTATTGTTTTTTCCAAGAATCAAGTATATCATGATGGAAGTAAGGATATTGATACTCACTCATTTCATTCAAGAATCATTGAGAAGAAAGAAATGGAACTTCAATATATGGAGTTAACACCTCACATTGTAGACATATTTGTAAAGCCACTAAAAAAGTTTGAAGACTTTTGGAAGATGCAAAATTCTTTGGAGTAAAAATTTTGAGGGGAGTGTTGAAAATATAATTTTTATGTATGGACACTTACTTTTTGTTCCCAATGAGCTGATAAGTTAGTCAATAGGAAAGAGAAATCGTTATTTCCTCCATCGATATAAAATTCAAATGTTGGTGGTCTTCTTTCGACTTAGTGTCTATGCGTTGAAGAATTTCTCAAATATGATTGGTGAATTATGTTAGTTATTATTATTATTATTTATTATCTATATTGATAGGTAGAATATTTAGGTCTATAAATAAGTGTAATTTGCAAGCCATTTTGAACTAAGTCAATAAAAGTGTGTTTCATTCTAGCTTGTTTTCCTTACCACTCAGTGATTGTGTTAACAATTTGTTCTTAGTGTTCACTACAAAAAAATATCATTTTTGTAGCGAGATTTTTTCGTCTTTAAATTCACTTTTTCCGAACTAATGATATTAAAGACGGAATTAATGATGGAATTACGTTAGCTACGTGATCTTTAGGGACGGAATTCCGTTACAAATATATTATTTTTTTTGTAGTGGTTCTTCCACATTGTTTAATACCTAGTGTGTTTTTTGTTGCACTCAATGCACTCGATCCATGGGTTTACGCAGTGTGCACTTGACAGCAACCGTGGTAATTATAATTTAAACCTTATTTTATAATATCATATACTTCCAAATTTATTCTTATTTTTATTTTTAATCTGTCTGTTAAATTTATCACATTACTAATTTTGACAAAGTCAACAAATTTAACGTTTAATTAGTAACCTTTATTCAACATTTATTTACAAGAAAGGCTTTGAATCAAATGCTGAAGTAATAAAAAATTCAGCATAAGTTGAAATTGATCTACATCCTTCATGTTAATTTATTATTTTAATTAATTAAATAATTTAATTAATGAATGGTGTAGATCAATTTCAATATGATTGAATTCCTTAATTCACCGTGTAATCCACGTACAATAAATACCACTAACTTTATTACATTATCTCTTTGTTTACTTTCATTTACTATTTTTAGTGGATGGAGGGAGTAGCAATTAAAACTCTTGCACGCTTCACATTCTATTGTTCAATATAAAAACATATAATATAAATAGTTCAAAAATTTATTGATGTGGCTCAAGAACACAATTATAAACTTAATAATTAAGCTCTTGATCAAAGAGAATATTTTATAAGCAAATACATAAATAAGAAATGACAAGTTGGCGAATGATTAAAGCATCATTGCATGCCATCTTTGACAATAATATAGTTTCGAAACAAAGCAGGTTGCTAATGGTAGTCATTAAGATTATTATATTGCATCCACTTGACTTAAGATATAGATATACATTGATGATCATCATTAACACCACTTTACTTAACCAGACTGACGAAACCCCGTGTCAATTTTGTTTGACGATCAATAGCGAGACTTCATAGATATGGCTATTGCTGCCTATGCATCCTTGGTTTCTCTTACTCGTGTCCTAAAAAATCTCCGCTATCGCGCCAGCTTTAATCTCCCTCATTCAGACATCAAACAAGTTGAAACACTACAGAAAAATGTCGAGTTCCTGCTGGAATATGTTGAGCTTCATTCAGAAAATGAGATCCACGAGCTCCGAGGTTTGTGGAGGCGAATGGCTGAGGTTTCTGCTGAAGCAGAAGGTGCCATCAATTTCCATGTAGTCAATCTACTCCATGAGAGATCCCAAGGAGAAACAAATGATACTGCAGCCTTCTCAGCTTTCTGCGAAGAAATGGAGACAATAATCGAAAAGCTTTGCTTAATCAAAAAGGAGTTGCCGGTGATTGAAGAAGAGGGGGACGATGCTCAAGCTCGAACGAAACCAAGTGCTTACGTCCCCAATGGCGGTTCACCTGTAGTTTCTTCATATGTCAGCAATGTTGTTGTGGGAATGGATGAGCACGTGATGAGGATCAGGGAGAAGCTTTTCAGAGGTAGATCGAATCTCCAAATCATCACAATTGTTGGCATGGGTGGAATTGGTAAGACTACTCTTGCTAAAAGTGTTTTTGATGATTCATTTGTAGTTGACCACTTTGATTTACGCTTGTGGTTTTCAATATCGCAAAAATATAGTGCTGAACAAATCTTTAAAATTGGTCTTCGAGAAAAGGCTGGAACATATAGTAGTTTAGATGAGTTGGGTAATAGATTCTACAAAAACTTATTTGGAAGAAGGTATCTGATAGTTATGGATGACATGTGGACAACTGGAGCTTGGGATGAGTTACGGAGGTATTTTCCCGACAATGAGAATGGAAGTCGTGTTGTTTTGACAACTAGACTCTCAAGCATCGCGGCTTCTTTGGGCTTTGGTGATCCATATTTCCTCAACTTTTTAGGTGAAAATGAAAGCTGGGATTTATTTTGTCAAAATGCCTTTGCGCAAAAAGGTTGTCCATTTAGCTATTTAGAGAAATGTGCAAAGGATATTGCACAGAGTTGCAGAGGTCTTCCTCTAGAAATTGTTGTTGTCGGCCGTTTGCTTGCAAACTCTGAAATGAGTACAAAATATTGGGAGCATGTTCAAAAGAATCTTAGTTCACTTGCTAATGAGGAAGACAGTGATCATTGTATGAAGATACTATCATTAAGTTATAAGAGCTTGCCAATTCATCTCAAATCGTGTTTTTTGTATATGCGAGTTTTTCGTGAAGATGAATGGATTAGTATCAAACAGCTGATTGACTCATGGATTGCTGAGGGATTCATTAAACCAGTAAGGGGCAAAAGTATGGAAGATGCTGGAAGGGAAAATGTAAGAAACCTCATTGAAAGAAACCTATTATTTTATAGGAATACAACTCAATGTGGTATACATGATCTTTTACGGGATCTTTGTTTAAGAGAGTCTCAAGACGAATGTTTTCTTCAGTTTCCAAGACAGCAAAGTGTTGAAAGAACTTTTGGAAGAATATTTATCTGCAACCTTTGCTGTAAAGATGTTAGCAGCAGCAAACTAATAAATGTTCTGAAACCATGTTATACTTTTGGATTTTCACCAAAAGTTAAACCTTTGGTTTGTGATGCTTGTAGAATTTCTTTCTCACACCATACAAGACCTACATTTGTGGATATTGAATGTTACAATGGTGGTCGTAGCAATGTACTTTTTCAGCCAATAGAATTGCGACATATTGAGCTTTTCGTGGATAAGTTGTTGTCTCTTTCGACATTACAGTTACTTTGGAATGTTCAAAGTGTAAGAATTTATTCAAGTTCTTCACTTATAGTTTTACCACAAGAGATTTGGGAGATGCCACAGCTCACTGATTTTCAATTTGAAAATGGAGTGCTTTTACCTGATCCTATAGCTACTAATACTGAAGGGAAAGGCTTCCTTGTGCTGAATGACCTTCACACCATATCTCGAATATATAATCTCAATTGTACCAAGGAAATTATTGAGCGAATTCCGAATTTGAAGAAATTGAATGTTCATTATAGGTCTGAATCTGAGGAGGCCATCCAACAGTCGAACTTTTCTCTATGTAATCTTGAGCAGCTGCGAAAACTTGAGTCCTTGTCGATAAGCAATTATTTGGAAAATATAACCTTCCCTAATACACTCAAACAGTTGTCACTGACAGATTGTAGATTGACATGGGAAGATATGTCAATGGTTGGTTCGTTGCCTTGTCTCGAAACACTTGAGATATGTGGTGGCATACAAGGGTCGGAGTGGTATCCTGTTGAAGGGGAATTTCTTCGACTGAAAGAACTGGACATCAGACATACTCATTTAGCATGTTGGAAAGCAGATACTGTGCACTTTCCGATCCTTGAGCAGCTTCGACTTAATGGATTGAACTTATTGGAAGAGATCCCTTTCGGCATTGGAGATATCCCTACATTACAATCAATTTTGCTGCACAGATGCAGTGATTCTGCCATTGATTCTGCAAAGCAAATATGGGAGGAGCAATACGAGGTTGGGAATGAGATTCAAATTGATGTCACTCATGCACGCGGTGTCTCGTATCAAATTGGTATTTTTAATGCAAGACTGACGACGATTTCTTGTGAATCTTTTGTTTACTTGAAATGTCTTCTGAAAAGACTGGATGAGGTTGCTGACCGTGGCCGCAACTGTCTAACCTCGAAACAAATGGAAGCTGTGGAGGAGGACATACATTTCTTGAATGACTCTGTTAAAACTTTTCACCAAATAAAAAGCCAAGAAATTGTCGGTCGATTAAGAGATGTAATAGGCCATGCTGTCCACAAAGCCGGGGTTGTGATCCACAGGCTGCGCTCGGAAACTTTGATGCCTATACTTGGCAAGAATGTCCGCGAAGATGTTGAAAGACTGTCTGAAAGCATAGACATCATTAAAAGGCTGATGCCATCGGATAAAAATGAAGTGAACAAAGATGACCAAGAAAGATTCGAGAACCTTAAGATCGACTCACACAGATTCATCAACACTTTCTGGCTTGACGAAATGTCTTTTGCCGATAAAGTTTTAAGAGAATATCAAATTGGTTCTGTCACAGCAACAATGACAGAGGCAGCTAGTTTAATCTGGTCCGATTTAGCATGCATCTTGGAGGTCCTCCATAATGCTTCTGAACTCGGCCGCCATCATTTAAACGCAAAGAAAATGGAAACTGTTGATGATTACATCCATTTCATGCGTGATATTGTTGAAATTCATCCCCATAGTAGAATTAAAGAAATGGAGAGTTTGTCGGGGATAATAAGCCATGCGATGTTTGCAGCAGAGCGTATGAATTTGAAGCATCTGTGGCGACATTCTCTCGGCGACATAAATGGAGAAGACCTCTCATCTTTCTCCCAGCATGTGGAAAGTGTGACAGTAATCATAGGCAGCATCAAGGATAGACTTTCAGCTTCTAAAGAGAAAAGGGAAGAGGATTCTGCTACCAGTGATCCATCCACAAGTTAGTTAAGGTATATTTCTTAAGACATTTAATTTCTTTCCTTAAGTTTGTGCTAATTTTGTTGTTCAATTTCTTTTGCATTTAAATCTGCACATAAAAATTGGTTGTCTGCTGGCAGAAGATCGCACTACAAAAAAAATTGAAATTTAGCTACAAAAAAATTTAGTAGCAAAAAGGTAATAATTCATAGCAAAATATTTTTGCTGCCTATACCGAGTTAGTAAAAGTCTTTGGCGATAAATATGACTTTCGTAACAAAAAATTATATTTTTTGTAACAAAATAGTTTTAGCAACAAAATATGTATGATTTTTTTAACCAAACGATTTGAAAAATAATTTTTTATCTAAAACTTTTTTTGCTATAAAGATAGAACTTTCTAACAAAAATATATTATGGACGAAATTAATTTTATAGTACATAATTTATTGTTAGTGATTAAATTAATTTTTGTAGTTAAACGATATGTTTTAACTACAAAAATATTTCGTAATTAAAAATATTGTAGGTAATTAGATATTTTTTTTTTTTTTTTTGTAGTGTCGAACCATGGAAGAAACTGACATGAAAGGAAGTGGCTACCTTGTGGAGAGAACGGATATGTTGGAGATTTTGTTTATTATTGATGAAGTGTTTTGTATGTGTAAAAATAATTGACTATGTAAATTTAATATGAAATTGTAATAGGACATGATGTATAGGAAGAAAGACTTAGGTATTCATTTCTAATGAAATATTGTATTCGGAAAATAAATTTAATTACTATACAAAAATGTGTCCGATCATCTTGGTTAAGGACTATATTTGTCATATCTAGAACCACTACTATACATATTATTTTAAACGTACTTCACAAGGGTTGTTGATGTTGTAATATTAAGGCTAAATTGCATAAAAATTACTTGTGGTTTCATAAAATTGCGCTAAATTCCCTATACTTCTAAAATTGCGTCAAATTCTTTCGTGGTTTTATAAACTCTGCGTTTAACCCCTTCGGCGATCTTTATTTAACGGTATTTGACCTAAATGCGCCCAAACTGCAAATTAATTTTAAAATCTCAATTTATAAACCCCTAAAATTATAAATATATTTATTTTTCTTGTATTTAGTCTAAAAAATAATAAATATATTTAAAAAATAGTTATTTTTACCTGGTTTTAAGAGTTTTTTTTATTTTTTTTTTAGGCTAAATATAAAATATATATATTTGTAATTTTAGAGGTTTAAAAATTAAAATTCTAAAATTTATTCACAATTTGGACGCATTTAGGTCAAATACTGTTAAATAAGGACCGCCAAGGGGTTAGACGCAAAGTTTATGAAATCATAAAGGAATTTGACGCAATTTTAAAAGTACGAGGATTTGGTGCAATTTCGTGAAACCACATGTGAATTTTGTGTAATTTAATATAATCTTAATATATGGTTTCCTATATATATTGAAAGCCAACCCAAGTGAAAGTCTACTGCATCTCAATATAATATTAATATTTTTAAAAAGAAAATAGATATATATATATATGGGACGGAATGAATATAATTTTAAGTAGTGTAATTAATGAAATCATTATAAAATAACTTTATAAAATTCATGTTTTAAATGTAATACACAATTTTGATTTACTAAATTATTTAAATTTAATACTATTAAATAATTTATAATAAAATTATTTATATTAAAATATAAAATTTGTATTAAATAAAATAATAAATTTGTTGGTGTAAAAGAAAGAGAAAACCCGAAAAACCTGTGATTGAATTCTAAAAAAAAAAAATATGAATAAGTTCTTAAAACGACGTGTCATAACCTGACTGAGAAAAAACGACCAATATGATTTTTGCATTATTTATGATCTAAGTGGCTCAATGTGACCACCATGAAACAGACATTCAAAGGTGTGTTTTTTTAGTTTTTTTGTATTTATCTTTTTTTTTTTTTTTTATGATATGAGAATCTGCGGCCGCTGCCTGAAAATACGCATTAGGTAAACCCCCAGCCGAACTTAATATCTTTACAAAAATAATTCAATTAGTGTCTTATAATACTAATATAATAACATTTGTATTAAAAATTATACAAAGAATATTTTTAATATTAAATATAATAAATATGACCCTTGAAAACACATACAAAGAGTATAATATATTTTTATAAATAAATACAACAACAACAACAACAATAATAATAATAATAATAATAATAATAATAATAATAATAAATCAAACCTCAAAAGAGTATAATATATTTTTATAAATAAATATAACAACAACAACAACAACAATAATAATAATAATAATAATAATAATAATAATAATAATAATAAATCAAACCTCAAAAAAATAAAACCTGAATTTGATAAATATAAAATTATACATTTAATCAAAGATAATTTATTAAATTATTTCAAGTACATAATAACAACACATATAATACAATGATATTTTCAACACACTGAGCATCATATTTCTGTCTGCTTAGACCATTTACAATACAATATAAATGATACAAGTTCTTATATTTTTCTTTCTACGGTATTAACTTAAGAATTCTTAAAAATTCATTAAATTCTTTTTTTCACATAAAACCTAAAATAATATTTATAAAATTTCTCTCTTTCATATCAACAAATTTATTATTTTATTTAATACAAATTTTATATAACATATAATCTTTTAAATATATCTTTAATATATTATAATACTTTATATTTAATGAAAAAACATAATATTTTTATATTTATTTTTATAAAATGTAATATTTTAACTTTTTAAATTAATATACATTTTTTACGTATATATTATTATTATTTTTAATGAAATATATAATTTTATTTTAAAAATACAACTAATAAATAATTAATATTAAATTAATATTTTTAATATTATTATTAACTTTAAAAATAAAAAATAAACTATAATTATATTTATTACTTCTTCCGTTCCATTTTTTGTGTCTGATTTAATGTTGATACGAAAACTTAGTAAATTATAATTAGTAACTAACTAATAGTACATTAGTAAAAATAATTATGTTTAATAAAATTAATTATAAATTATGATAAAAATAACTAAGTAATACTCCCTCAGTCCCATATATTATGTCTATACTGTCGTTTCGGTATGTCCCACATGCCATATCACTTAACATATTTGGCAAATTATTATACACTTTAAACATAATTAAAATTTCTTAATCTAAAATTATTTAATCTAAATATACATCCATATAAATCCCTACCACCAACCCCCATTTTGTCTTCCCAATTCACTTTCTCTCTCCCCGATTTGAGAAACTATAATTCCCGCTCACATTCTCTCCCGATCTGTGCTCCGGTGACCTTAAACCGATGTCATCGGTCCACCGATCACCGGTTCTTCCTCCCCCAAGCTCACAGAACCCCTGCCCTAAGTTGAGATCCTCTCCCTGTTGCCCAATCTATGGTCATTTTCCTTATGAAATCCCTAAATCATCCGATGAGCTCTTCCCCGTCGAACCAGTTTTTAGCAATGGTAATTTCGTCGATTTACTATAAAGGAGGTCGGTGCAAGTGAGGGTTTTTCATTTTGGGTACCAGACAATGAATTTCCGTTCGATCTAGAGTTGGATATCGATGTCGCACCTCTAGGGCGAGAGAAGGCACATGCAATATCTGTCCAGCATTGTTTGATGACAGCGTTGGATCGGTCCCAAAAATTAGCGTTATCTGGTTCAAACTTGGGTATTGCTCAGACTCTGACGACGATCGTGATTTCGAGCATACATCGTCCCTATTCCAGATGTCTCGGCAAATACGTCCCTACCGTGGACATTTGTGAGATCTAAACAAACTTTTACTTGCATTCCATTCATTGTGATGTCGGATGCCTAATGACTATATTGCAATTCATGCCATCTTTAGTAATTGTGACCTGAAAATGCATTTATATCACGCTTTGGTGGATGTTATTGATTTAGTTGGTTGAAAATAGTTTATTGTGCGCCATAATCTATTTTCATCGAACTTTAGGTGCTATACCATTTTGTCTCGCCTAAAAATTTTCAATCTGTAATTGTTGGCTTCAACATGGCATCCAGGATTACATATACTCATATTAAATTGTTTTCACTCGACAACTCAAGTTGTAATCTATGAATTTGAGTTAACAATTTGAAAACAAACATTTCGTACGGCAAAATACATTTCATCAAAATGTTTACACTATAAACCTGTTACTAAGGGTGTGTTTCTTTACGAGGGTTTGAAGAAATTTGGATTTGGGTTTGGTTTTTATTTTAATTTTGAGGTAGGTTTGAATTGATGTGTTTAGGTTTTGGTTGGGTTTGAAGAGGTTTGATGTTTATTGATTTGATGGTAATAAATATAATAATATAAATTTTTATTAATTTTTATAATTTGATTATAAATTGATATTATATCTACTACATATATATTTCTAAAGTTTTATTTATTTGTATTATAAAAAATATTATTCTCTACAAAATGACATATATAATATATATATTTTATTAAGTTATAATTACTACAAAAATTTTAGTTTACATTTATACTTAATTTATTTTAGAAAAGAAAACAAACCTCATCGTGATCCCATATTGGTCGGGATACAACACACATGAACATAATTTTTGTTGCAAACTTTTTGCTTTAACACGTTCTGTGTGGATCATTTTCCATAGGGGTCAAGTAAAATCGATGTGTCTCTTTGTCATATAAAACTATTTTTCATTAATGTGTACCACATTATGCATGCTTCGAAATAAATGCCGATTCGATACACCTATAAACATTAAGGGCTTCTAATGAAAAACATAATCTTTGGAGCTTGTTACTCTCCATCAGCTCTGGCCGAACAACACTCGTGTGAGGCCTGAGCTATTTCAGTTTAATCCAACGGTGTATGGTTGTTTTTGAACAATCCAGCCCATTTGCTAAAGTTCTCATCAAAGACCTTTGCATCAATGATAAGACTTGTATTGCATTCATATAGGGCATTTTATCTTGTCTTTTCTTACATATTTTCTTTCTCTACTAATGCTAATTGTTTCATCTTTTTGTAATTGTTACGTTGCAGCATTCCAATGTTGGAAAACGGTCCGGACCGAGCAACCAAATAGCATGGCAGCCTCTGTCATTTTCCCCTTCGGTGGCTCCCCACTGTCATCGCACGAAATGAGTATAAATTGAACTATCCGATTTAATTCTGAATATGTAAGAACTTTCTTTGACATGCCTGTATTAATTGATGTAGTTATTTGGACTTGTGTTGGAATATTCTAAACTTGTTGTTTTGTAGTTAATGTGGAAATTAGTGTGATGTTGTAGTTAATGTTGGAATGAGAAATTTTGTCAAAGTAGTAGGATATTTATTGTTGATTTTAGAGTGAGATTAGGAGGGAATTGAAATAGAATTCCCACTTTTATTTGGTGATGTCACACGGTTTGGATAGAAGTGAAAAATGAGGGGAAAAATTGTGTAATTTACCTTTCTCTATTAGGTGGAAAAAATGTGTAATTTAGAGGGAATCAACGAAATTTTTAGTTGTTGTACTATTGGATGTAATATTGGGTATTTGTCTGTAATGAGATTTATTTTATATTGATATAAACTAGTATAAAGTTGCCAACAGCTATTGTGTTGTTGTACAGTGAATGAACAAAAATATTGTACTATATTGTACTTTTATTTTTATTTTTATTAATATATGTATTAACTATACATCTATATTACTTATTATATTTTCTCCTAAAATACTATGTCTATATTGTAACAGACATGGTATATGAGACATGAGAAGTATAACTAAGATTACAATATTATAAATTATAAAATTTAAAAGATGATTAAAATATAAGTATAATTATATAGGAAGAAATAAATAAAGTGAGACATACAAAAATAGAAATAATAGTCGAAAAAGATGAACGGAAAAAATATAATAATTTATATTTGTTACACACAAAAAAAATAATAATAATAAAAATAAGGATAGCAGGTCGGTTGGTCCTCGGTCGGATAGGCAGGTCGGTTAGTCCTCGGTCGGTTGGTCCGGTCGGTTGGTCCTCGGTCGGTTGGTCCGGTTGGTTGGTCCGCAATCGGATAGGCAGGTCGGTTGGTCCTCGGTCGGATAGACAGGTCGGTTGGTCCTCGGTCGGAGAGGCAGGTCGAAAGGTCTGCGGTTGGATAGTCAGGTCGTTTGGTCTACAGGTCGGACGGTCCGCAGGTCGGAAGGTCCGCATATCGGATAGTCAGCAGGTCGGATCAATAAGTCGGATGGTTTGTAGTCGGTTGGTTCGCAGTCGGTTGGTCCGTGGTCGGACCAAGTAAAGTTGGCTGCTATGGAGGTCGGGCGAAGTAAGGTCTGGTAATTGATTGTCCACTTAAGTGAACAGTAGTTTGGTCGCTTGGTGGGGGCGGCCAAGGAGTCTTTTGGTCTAGCGACCAGTTAGTCGCTGGATTAGTCGGTTGAGTTATGCAGTTGGCGAGGCGGTTGTTGTAACTGACCAGGCGACGTTTCAAAATGTTTCTTTTGGGCGGTTGACGGCGGTTGCTGTAACCAACCAGGCGTCGGTTCCAAGCGTTTTTTTCGAGAAATATTGAAGGATTTGGATTTTTCTGGAGAAGGCATCTTTAATCAACTTCAACGAAAGCAAAGTCAGATTCGGGGATCACCACTTTAAATTTTCAGCATTTTAATTTCCAGTTAATTTTCTTATGTACAGTATAATGTTTAGAGATTCCTAATCTCAGGTACTAATTAATCAAATTTAAGGATACATATCTTTGAATTTTACTTTTTGTTTATTGAAAAAAATACATCAAACATTATTAAATACAATATGTATACTAAAATAAAAACATAAAAAAATACATATTTTTTTTTTCCTCAGATGAAAGAGAGAAATTAAAATTGTTATATTCCATTTTTTTTAATTAAAATAAATGAGGTGGTTTGCCGCATCACCATGTTAAGGTTCTTAGAGCATCCACGTTAGAGAAATTCATCAAGAATTTTCCTCGACTTCCACATTATCTCACTTTTTAACTTAATAAAAAATTACATATACATATTTATATCAATAAAATTTATTGTAAAAATAAATTTAAATAAAAATATATGAATATATATCATTTTGTAAAAAATAAATTTTTTATAATATAATAATATAAAAAATAAATAAAAACAAAAAATTTGAGAGTGTTTTTGTGTTGCTCCGTGCAGCAACCCCAAAAGTTATTTTATTTTATTTTTAATTCTTAAAAATGCCACAATGTAAGCCGCATAAGAGAATGAGGATTTCTCTTGAGAAAAACCCTGAAGCCGGCGTTCACATCGCTAGTTTCTCCTATTAGGATAAACCCCCTGTCTCCTGCATGACTTTTACATTGTGGCATTTCAGAGAGTTAAAAAAATAAAATAAAATAACTTTTGCGGTTGCTGCGAGAGCAGCTCAAAAACACTCTCAAATTTTGTTTTTATTTATTGATAATAATTTGATTTATTTTTTATATTATTGTATCATATAAAATTTTATTTTCTACAAAATGATATTCCCTAGTCCCATCTAATTTTGTCTCTATTTTTTTTTTAATTTTTTTTAATTTTAATTAAACTATTTAGTTATCTTAATTTTAATCTATAATCATTTTTAGTATATAATAATTATTTTTACTAATACACTTCTTAGTAACTTACTAATTATACTTTACCTAAATATTATTTAGAACGGAGGGAGTATATATTAATATATTTCTGTTTAAATTTAATTTTAAAATAAATTATGTTGACATAAATATAAATATATATATATATATATATATAAAATTTTTTGTTGAGGTGGAAAGTGAGACAATACGTGAAAATAGAGATAAACTCTCAGAGTGTGTTTGTCTGGGAGATTAGATTTAATTTTCACTGTTCATCTTATTTCCCACCTAAAATTTATATTATACTAAAAATCAATTTTACATTCAAAACATCACTTCAACACTTATTTATATCACATCGTACAACTATTTAAATTCAAAATTTTTACTATTCAAATCTCAATTCAAAATCCAAACCCCGAAACAAACACACCCTAATAAATTTCTCTTATGTGGATGCTCTTGGATAGGTAAAAGTGAGTACTCGTATGGTGCTGTGCTACGTTGTCTGCGATTACAACGCTGATTGGATAATACCGGCCATGCCCGATCAAAGTCCGCACGCAGCGGCCGCCTGATAGAAAATGTGGAAATTAACATAACTTACACGATTGGATTGGATGGAGTGCAACACCAATTAAAGTATCTTACAGAAGTGTCTTTACAAATAAAATCAATGCTTTTTGAGCAATAAATACATCAGGATCATATCAGCTCAGGTCACCCTAAACGCACCATTTAATTCATCCGCATAAATAAATTTAGGTCTAAAAATAAAGAATCGAGAAATTCAGGTTACAACAAGAATTCTATCACTTTATCATATTCAATAGCTCCTCCACTCCAAAGTTTGGTTTCACCGAAAAATTATATGGCCGAATGCTACAGCTGGCTAGAACACTCCGAAAAATGTGGCGATGGCAAAAACTAGGAATAAACCTCCACCAATGTATCCAACCTGAATCAAGAACAAAGATTAAGATAGGAGGATGAAAAAGAGGGAAGGGGTAGTTAATGTTTCGGGGACATTTCATACCAGTTTTTCAGATATGTAGTTGGCGAGCAATGCGCCCCCTAGTATTGCAATGGATGTAGCAAGCAGGTGACCCACAATGGCTCCACTCGCCACTCCCCATGCCGACTGTACATTAAAAAGAATTAACAAAAAATGTTCGATGGGAGCTTCAAACATAGTCATTCAAGGCATTTGTTGGCTTCCCAAAATGATACCTGTGCGGCTCCAAGAGCTATTGTTGCCAGCATTGATCGGTCTCCCCATTCCTAAAAGAAATTGAAAATGGTAAATAAGAGGTTCCATTTTTGGAACATGAAAATTCAACAAACATGGTTCTGTGGTAGCTCGAAGATTTTCTGACTATTATCTCACTCGCAAGTGTCAGTAAGTCAAAGGTTCAAAAGCAACTTATGTAAGAGTATTCAACTTAGACCTATCATAGTTGACAGTAATGAGAGCACAATCCTAGTAGCTTGATTGGTAGGGGCTCAATTATAATTCAGCATTTTTCTCCCTTAAGAATATCATTTCACAGTCATCAGGACTGTCGTTGGATAATGATTTCACCATTATATCAGTAACTTTAACAAGGACTCAAACACAATAAATATAAAGAAAGTTCATTAAATAATTGGGAAAGTGAAGCTCTGTGCCAACAAATACTTGCAAACGTGATTCTCATTATATTAATTCTACAATACCATTGTTGGTGTAAATGAACGGAATAAACTAGTAAAAGAATGAATATACGAATAAGAAAATAAAGTGATAAAGGTATAGAACCGATAAATGCAAAGAACAATGGGATATATAGGTGTGTTTGCTCGGCTAATTTTATTTAATTTATACAATTTCAATTTTTTCTCCAAAAACAACAAATCAAATATCTTTTTTATACATATTGCATCAATTCGTAATTATCACATTGAACAATTATTCAAATTCAAAATTTTACAATTCAAATCAAAACCCCCAAACAAACACCTACGTGAATCTTAAATAAATGGAAAAAGATGAATGGAATGAAATCACTTCAAATGGCTATAGTTTCAAATATTATAGTCTAACAATAATTTTCAATATAAATTATTTTTTAAAAAAGGCAAAACAAGACAAAAATGAAACAAACCAACCAACAAGCAAATAAATTAATACAATCGGTTGCATGTGAAATTTCAAGAAAACAAAATGCTTTAGATAAAAATTATCACAAATATAGTAAAAAAACTTCAAACACTAAAAGAGTATCTTACATTATGCAAGGTTAAGAGAGGGGCAACTTACTCATTATAAAACTAATAAATGAATTATAAATGGATAAATACAATTAGATAGGGTTTTGTTTAGTCGGGATTGTTGGATGAAGGGTTCGGACTACTCACGAACTTGCAAATAAGGGCTAACTCCCGGAGTAAATGCATAGCAGTGAAATTTGAAGAAACAAGAAAGTTACAGCGTGTTAAACTCATAGTAATTGCAACTCAGTGTTAGAAAAATAAATACAAATACACCAAAACAATAAATGACACAAGAGTTTGTTGACCCAATTAAGTTATAACCAACCTACATAATTAAGTTATAACAAACCTACATATGAGAGATACCAATTCAGGAGTAAATTCACTATAATCTATATTGATTACAACACTTAACAACCAATCACTCATTCAACTTATTTCCTCTCTCATAGCTTACGTTGCAAAAGTTGCACAGGTAATTGGTCATTACTAGACCCTAATAACACCAGCAGCTTTCAACTAACTAAGAATAATGCAGCTCAAGAACTAGTTGCCAACTCCGATTGGATTTCCATAAACTCCTTCCTCCAGTAACTCCTCCAGCGAGTTTAAATATAAAAACTTCTTTAGAACATGGAGAATGTGAAGGAAAAGGTTAACAACTCGAAAGTAATTTCTCTCTCTAGAAAATTAGAGTTTCAACATGCACTCTCATCAACAATGTCCCAAGCTGATTAAACAGCCCCATTGTTGACCTTAGGGAATGATCCCATTAATTACCTTTGCACCAAAGCGGTATAGGGTATTTCTCAGCACATTTGGCAACATTTTGACTAACTCAAACAATTCATTTTGTCTCTTGTATGTATCAAATGAAATGAGACAAGTGGACTACCCATGAACCATCTAGACAAGTCTGCAACAATAAAAAGGCAATAGTTGTTTTTGTGCTAAACTGGCAAGCAAGGGTGAAGTAGGTTTGTCCATACGACAAAATAGAAAATAAGGGGTTATTTCCATTTAACATTCTCCCACTTTTTGGCATATGGAACCACGAACAAATATAAAAGAAAAACTCTCAAACAACCAATCAAACCGCGATAAACCAAAGCGGAAAAATTCATCAATTTGGTTACAGAACATAAAAAAGCAAAGGCAACATGCAGCTTTACAAAATGGGATGGTTGTAACTACGACAGATTAACAACTAACTCTATTAACCGAATTGAAGGCAAAAAGAGCAAACAACAATTATCAAACAGCAGCAGAACAACAACACCCCTTTCTTATCTCCCTCTTGTCATGCGTCATATTTCTCCCCTTTCGTGGCATAGGATTCCAAAACGATTGGACTCTACAGAGGTTGGGCCCTTGGAAATGAAATTCATAGCACGGGCGAGCTTCCGACGATGCTTGGAACGTCATCTTGATGTCAAGATCTTCATTCATTACTTTCCGAAAGAGCCTATGTGACTGGCCAAATTCATGGAGTCGATTCTTTAAGATCATTAGGCAGTTTTTCTAGGTTAGTCTTCGGAACAAACTTGACTGTGTGACACACTTCCTCCTCAAGTTTAGAAAGAATCCTATGATGTTTACGCAAGATGTTGTGATGAGAGGAAAAGTACAACCGATCGATTCTTCTACCAGAGTGACAATCTGATAAGTTAAAGTTATAAAAAGAAGAATCCGATTGCCTTATCAATAATCTGAGGACCGATCATGACAAAGAATTTGAAAACCAGGAACTTAATGGCATCTGTAATGGATTGGGAATCAAGCATGAGTTCCGACCCCTAAAACACCACAAGAAAATGGTGTAGTGGAAAGGAACAATAGAGCCTTATGAAAGATTGCAAGACCAATGATGCATGCAAAGAGACAATTTTGAGATAATCACAACTTATAAGAGAGTTATGGGTGAGTGTGATAATTTCTTCATCCTCATGCCAATCATGCTCATCTCGAATTCTGAATTCATGAATTTCCAAATTCCTTCCTCATTGATTCAGTAGTGGATCCGAATACAATGTCCTCAATATACGCTTGGGCAATCATCAGCTTCTTCCCTTTGTGCTTGATAAAAATGTTTGAACATATTCCTTTTCCAGCAAGAAGTTAGAAAACCTTTCATACCAAGCCCTTGGCACTTGGCCTTCTTCAATCGATACACATGATCCGGATGGAACGGGTCTTGAAATTCTTTAGGTTGCTCAACATAGATTTCTTCCTTGATCCATCCATTGAGAAATGATGTTTTCACATCCATTGGGTGAAAAGTAAAACCAAGACACTATGGAATGGACAACAGCAGCCTTACAGTTTCAATCCGAGCAACAGGTGTGAACGTTTCATCGTAACCAATTCCTTTGCTCTAAGTGTACCCTTAAGCTACTAATTTGGCATTGTTTTGAGTAATATTGCCAATCACATTGCAATCATCAGGTCTCCACACCAGTGTCCATACACTATTCCTTTCAAACTTATTCAATTCATCTTGCATATCATTGATCCAGTATTCATCCTTTAGCACCTCGTCTACTGTCTTTGGTCCAAAGGTAGAAACCAAACAATTCATTCCAGATAAGTCTTTGAAATCAATTTGTTTACCTCTAGTAACACGTCCAACGTTTGGATCACCAAAAACTACATCTATTGGATGATTTTGTGGGATCTTGGAACTATACTTTCTTACTTCTACATCAGATTTTGTTTCAGCAGGTTGTTAGTTTGTTGCAGTAACATCAGTGGAGCACTCTGGTTCTGATCGAACTTTCAGTTGTATGGTCTGTAACATTCAGAGGTTGGTCATTAAGATCTTCACAAGCATTCTGAGCTTGTGAAGGGTTCTGAATCATTGGAGTAGGGGAAACATCATTATCATCATTTGGATGTATTGATTTCTTCTCCGAATTGGCATCATCAAATACCACATTAACTGACTCCATCACCGTCTTGGTTCGACTGTTGTAACCTCTATAAGCCCTTGAATTATGAGAATAATCAAGAAAAATACCATAATCCATACGTGTATCAAACTTGTGCAATTGATCCAGATCCTTCAAAATGTAGGCATTTGCACCCAAATGTGTGAAAATAAGAAACAACACTGTGTTAACAACCTCAGCCCACAAGAACTTTGCAATTCTTTTTGTATATATCATCGATCTTGTATCTCTTGGAAGGTTCTGTTCTTCCTTTCCACTACACTATTTTGTTATAGTATTTTAGGTGCCGAATACTCATATTTAATTGCTAATCTATTACAAAACCCATTAAACTTCAGGTTCTCAAATTATTTGCTATGATTGGTCCTCAAACTGTTTATAAGGCAATTTAACTCTATTTTTTAGAACTCCAACTTACAACATTGTCACTAAGGTAAAAGCATCAACTAGTTGTGCTTTTTATCATCACAACATCCTGCCCAATCATCATGGAATTCTTCCCAAGCTTGACGAGGAAGAATGTCACACCACCAAATTTGTTACGAAAACCAACCTAGAAAAATTGCATTATGATATAAGGAACCTGTTGGTGTGTGAAAGAGGAGAAGACTAAAATATTGGTCTTGTCCCACATGAGAAGAATAAACAAACCACCATTTCCTTATATGTACTTAGTCCCATTTATTGTTCAATTTAGATTGGATTGGATATGATATTGGCTTGGGTTTGGGCTATGACTTGGGCTTGAGATTGGACATATATATATATATATATAGTAAGAGCAGGCCTTGGGGCTCGTGGGCCGGGCCTAATTGCAGAAAAAAATCCAATTAATTCAAAATTCTACTTTATTTGATTAATTTATTTTCACAGTTTCACTTAAATGAAGATCTCCATGAAGAGATCTCCAGGGAACAACCAGAAGTTAAACAAGCTCCAAAGAAATGGCATGAAAAATATGATCATACCATTATGAATAGTGGTTTAAGAATCAATGAATGTGATAAATGTATATACATAAAAACCACTGAGTCAAGTTATGTGATAATATACCTTTACGTAGACGATATACTTCTCATT